ATCTGGCATTATTTTCACCGTTATTTCAAAGTCAAAAAATTGTCATTATAATGGCTGTTAAATGACAATTTTCATTCGATTTTTACACAATTAACAGGCCATTTTTTGGCATACAGTTAACAGGCTGGTAATGGACCATTAAATGCCAGTTTTCGTCGACCTGGGTACATTCACTAGGGTTATAACAGCAGAATCCCATCAGATACAATCATGCATAAACTAGCGATTCAGAAATAGTTTTACTAAGTATAAAAGTCATACATGTTACGTAATGTGTCATGAGAAATTGTTGCATCGTTTAAATAAAGTTAAATAATGAAAGATTACGGGATCGTTAGTAGATGTCGTGCTGGTATATTTATAATTTTTTAGCGTTTATTTACTCTAGCAAGTTAACAGTTGTCTCTTCTTTTGAATAGTGTACAAGCTATCAATTTAGAGAGCATGGTGAAATGTTATAGTACAAATTTCTGATAAAATATGGATGGCTACTAGGTGACGATATAGTATAGTCTGTCGTTATGTCGGGTATGAGTGGTAGTTATTTTGTAAGGACAGGTTCTCCTATTTGAAATCATGAGGATGCCACAGGTTCAACAAGTGAAAACTAATAATTTGGCGAATACTAAATTCCTGTTGTTGTTTCTGTCCTTGTCTATACAATGACAAAACGAGCCTCAGAGTACTTTTCACTGGATGTATGTTTTTTTGTTAAAATGACACTGCGAACAAAGTCAGATGAGGGAAAACGCTTGGCTTGGAAAATTATGCTATGAAGCACGAAAACCGAATGAAAAATTCAAATAACTCGTTCTAAAACTCATTTTCTGTTTATCTGTAATTTACTTTTACTAGAATGGCTATCTAGGAGAAAGAACTTAGCGCTGAACAAAACATGTCGGTAGATAATAACGATAATGGTGGTAAACAAATTGGAAATAATTCAGGTCAGTTAAATTATAGATTTAAACATGCTTTTCGAGTCAAACCCTCTGTTTTTCTTCCAGACAGTGAATCGGATTCAAACAATGACAATTTGATTGGTAATGTGCAGCGCATCGCAATTATTCCTCCAAATCATCAAGGAAAACCAAAAAAAGGTCCGTAATAAGGTTTTCTGTTTAGAAAGTAATCTTCCTTTTGTATCATTTTAGGCCATCTCATTTTCGATGCATCATTTGAATGCGGTCGGTATAGAATAAAACCAGGCGTAGGTTTTTATATTACAAATATATGTTTTGAATGTTTTAGGTAATTTGGGACGTGTTGATTACGTATCTGAAGCAGAATACGATCTGTTCATTCGGCCTGATACATGCAATCCTCGTTTTCGTTGTTGGTTTAATTTTACCGTTGAAAATGTAAAAACTGATCAGGTAAGCAATTGGAACAATTTAATGAGTTGACACTATAATAAATATCTCTTTATGTTTTTAGCGTGTAATATTTAATATCGTGAATTTCAGTAAAGCAAAGTCGTTATATCGTGAAGGAATGTCACCGCTTGTTAAATCAACTAGTCGAAAACGTTGGTAATATTTATCATATATACGTCGGGAATATTACTATCATAAGTATGCTATTTTCTCTTGACAATTAGGCAACGCTTACCACCTCGAAGCGTTTTTTATTATCGTTGTCCAGATCACAGACGAAATTACGTCATGTCTTTTATCTTTTGTTTTGATCGAGAAGATGATGTGTATCAATTTTCGTATTCGTTCCCGTATACATATGCAAAATTACAATCCTACTTGGATAATATTGATTTACGTGAATATGATTATGTACAAAGGAGGCCACTCGTTTACAGTGTTGTAAGTTTTCAGAGAATAATGTATGGTATTAGTGTATGGTATTACATATTATTCTTTTAGCAAAAACGTCGATTAGATTTGTTGGAAGTGGCCAGCCCTGAATTACTTGTCAAAGGAAAAAAGAAAAAAGTTGTAATTATTACTGCTCGTGTTCATCCCGGTGAATCACCATCTAGTTATGTTTGTCAAGGTAAACAAGATTTAAAGTATACAATAATAGATCTAGTCTACAGGATAGATATGCAGTGGATATTTCAGCACTTTTTATCTTTATAAACTTGCGTTTTTTAACTTTTTTCGTTCTGTTGTAGGTTTTATTGACTTTATAATCAGCAGTCATCCGGTTGCTCGTATATTGCGCGACAATGTGGTATTTTACATCGTACCTATGCTCAATCCCGATGGTGTTTTTCTTGGCAACCAACGGTGAGCTTAAACTTAAAATGTGATATAATGATCTTGATCTTGATTTATTTTGCTTGTAGATGCTCACTTTTAGGATTTGATCTAAACCGTGTTTGGAATGAACCATCGAGTTGGGCGCATCCAGAAATTTATGGAATTAAAACGCACATAATGAAATTAAATGAAGATGCGGTTAGTATTGTCAATAAAGTTGATTTCTATCAATTATTTACTTCTCTCTATTCTAGGATTTCGAAGTCGATTTTTTCATTGACATTCACGCTCATTCAACGATGATGAATGGTTTTATGTATGGAAATATTTATGAAGATTTAAGTCGTTTTGAAAAACATAGTATATTTCCAAAATTACTTGTACGTTTTACACAATTTCCGAATTCTTGTTTTTTACTTCGTTTATTTTAATAGGCAAGGAATGCTGATGATTTTTCAATAACCAACACATCATTTAATCGTGATGCTGTTAAAGCAGGTAACTAGAAACATCTAAGCTTAATAGAAGACCCTAATTGACTCTCTCTATTTGCAGGCACGGGTAGAAGGTAACTAAAACCTCACTTTATTTTCATCTTGTCATTTATAATTATTGAGTTTAGAACACTTGGAGGCTGTTTGGCCGAAAGTACACATTGTTACACATTGGAAGTGTCATTTTTTTCTTATCAAGTTACGCAATATTCACCACAAGTACCATATACCGAAGAGCTATGTATCCTTTGCTATTCTAACTTTTACTTAGCAGTAACTAAAAATAACACAAAACTTATTTTCATCCATATAATCATACAAAACTATTAAAAACAATCCCAAACATTTCGCAGCGAAATTTAGTTCACACTTGATCAGCGAAAAAGTATTTATACCAGGACTTTTTCTTAACAATCCATAACAGATATGCATCTTGGACGAAATTTAGCTCGAACATTTCTTGATTATTATAAATCGATAAATTATATTAATTGGGCTCCCAGTTCCAGTATTATGCCTCGACTAAGAGAAGATCGTATAAGATCAAAAATTCGATCAAATCAAGAACCACTTGTTAATACCGATGAAAAGTATATATTTGATTTTAAGCAATCACTGTTTAAGCCTCCCTCCGTTAGAAATGACATTTTTTGTCAAAAATATCGATTTTCCGAAATATACATGATTAGATGGATCAGCATCTCCTCTTTCGAACGCACTAAGCTTTATGTCCTCAGTTTTTCGACTTGATGGTTTTGTAGCAAGATTTCTAGAAAACCCATAGATGATCTCTTATGTGAGAAAAATTATAGACAATTTTAGGAAAGAATGTCTGCATAGATACATGTATATACGGTGCATGCAGGGACACATCCGCATCGGAATCACAGTATTTGAAAATCTGTGGGAACATATCAACAACCGTTTGATCTCACAATTTGTAAAACGTGCACTGTCTGTGAACAAAAAGAGTACCGAGTATCACAAAATGATTGCTCGTTTTTTTTGTTTGCGTATATCTCATTCTAAAAATATAATAAAATTTAATTTTGTTTAAAAAGATGTGTCATTTAATTCTCTACAAAAAACATACTGCATATTTTTCTATGTACCTTGAGAATAAAAGAATATGGAGGAAATACTGTGAATTTGCAATCTCGAGTACTTCCCAGCCCAAAAAACAGTTTTTTCATTTAGTTCCTTCCATATTGTGATATACACAAAAAGAAGATAGTCATAAATTAATTGAATGAGCAGTTGAAAATAAAGTTTTAAATATAAAGTATAATACTGTTATGTACATAGCATTATATTATACTTTATATTTAAAAAGAAGATGGTCATTTTGTAGCACTCGAAAAGCTGTATTGACTGACAATATTTTAAATTATTTGTCATCAAAAGCGGCTGGGAGCAAATTTTGTTTTCGTCTTGCCAGAAATCATCATTTCCGGTCGAAGTTTTGAGTCACTTGAGAGAATTTTTCCAACTGGGTCAAAATCGAACATTTTGAGATCGGATTTGTTTTATTTTAAAGGAAAATAACTGTTTTTACATCCGAAGGGGAAAAGTTCAATAATTCTGTTACTGCTACTGCGCTAGGACGAAAAAGTCAAGTATTCTCGTTTTTACGATAAGTTTTGGTAAAATTACTTTTTGTGCACGAAAACACCTTTAACCCTTTCAGGACCGGTCAATTTTTATATATTCAGTGCTCTTCATAAGTTTAAGACCTGTTTTATTTTGCAATATCTCGGCTTTCCTGACAGATAGAGACTTCATCCTTTCGTCAAAAGAAAGCTATCACTAAACTCTACCATATGTGAAAATATCGTTAAGGTTTAACTTATTTTGGCAGAGTTAGGTAGAAAACAGGATTTTCCTAAAAAAACGGAAAAAACGCATCTTCNAAACTCTCTTTTACTGAGAAGGACCGAAATTTTCGGAAAAACTTAGATTTCTAACTCAGAACTAAATATTATTCAAATGTATTATACATCAAAAGATAGAGCGTCAAAAACTGTATAAGATGATGTATTTGAGATTTGATTATGATCGAATTTTGGGGGACGTTTCTTCAAAAGAAAGTTTTGGAAAACACGGCTTATTCCGATTTTTGACGTTTTAAAACGTCACCCGTCCCGAAAGGGTTAAAGCAAACCTATGATATATGAAAAGAAAGACGACACTCAGGAGAAGTAGAACATATATTTTAGTTCACTCTGATGTGTGCCAATATGCTCGAAATAAATTTGTTTCCTGGTATTTTTTGGACTGGGAAGTACTCGAGATTGCAAATTCACAGTATTTCCCCCATATTCTTCAGGTACAGCGAACACCGATTACGAGATTTCTTCGTCAGAATTTATACTGAAGAGCCTGGGTTGATCTTAAATTAAACGTAACAGTCATAGAAACGACGTACAAGAGCCGGGTTTTTTATTTAGGCTTTTTTTTTGATATTCAGGATTTTGTAGAACCTTCTTGGAAACGGTGAATGCCCCATTTTTAGCAGTATTTTAGCACCTTCTGTGGAAGTTGATAGCTGGCCTCTTTACTATAACTGTTCCTAGACATGACCAACATCAAATTTTAGTCAAGACCGAACTAAAACTGACTGAAATAGCTTTCTCAGAGGGGAGCTTAAATATACACTGTTTAAATGTATGTATTCTAAATTTAGTCTTTTAAATGGTGATAATTTCAATTTAAGTGTGACAGAATTTGTTTATCCATCATCACAATTTAACAACGATTCGCATCAGAAAGCGTGAGATCATCGAAATAATGTTTTAACTGATAAAAAGAAAACATGTTAGATAGTTTTACTTTTTATTATTTATACGCTTATTTTATTGCTGATTTCGGTTTCATTCTTTTTTTACCTATAAAAACAAATATTTTTTAAATGATATACAAAAACAAATAGAATATGAACATTTTTTCGCAGATAAAACAATATAAGCAGGGAGTGTGAACCAAAATGGGATCAACGAGAACGAAAAAGTGTATAATTAACCTAATGGACAGATCTATAGCATTAATAGCTCCTTGCTGTCATACCAAAACTATCAGTAGGTATTCTGTATTTTAATACATGACAAAGGAACTCAATCTATCAATGTTGTAAAACCCAGATTTAGACCTATGGGAATAGATGACAGAACTGCTTTTCTTTAATGTCTGTTTGATAGATATGTGGTATGTGATTAGATGGAAAAGTATTTTTCGTAAGGTTCAGCTAATGCAAAATTCAAGTGGAATTTTGTTTTGACTTTATTATATATATTCAGATTCAGTTTAACAAGCTGATTACGAATAACACCCTTCCGAGCCTCCAAAAGTCATTTCTTCGTGGAGTAAAACTCAAATTACTGAGAAGACATCAAAAATACAAAAAACCGTCTTCTTTGATGAAATTGACTTTTTGTGCTTGTATTGCACGATGGAAGGTTCGAACTATATTTTTCTGAATAAGCATTAAAAACTGATTTAGAAAAAGGTTTTCAGTTCATTTCATAGGTATACCTATGAAATGAACTGAAAACCTTTTTCTAAATCAGTTTTTAATGCTTATTCAGAAAAATATAGTTCGAACGGAAGGTGTTATTCGTAATCAGCTTGTTAAACTGAATCTGAATATATATAATAAAGTCAAAACAAAATTCCACTTGAATTTTGCATTAGCTGAACCTTACTTTAGCAAGACAAATTCATTGAACGAAGATTTTCACTTTTACAAATTATTTTATTTCTTACTTTCGTTTTCTCAAACAAGGTATGATTACCGGGATATTCTCTATTCTACACATAGCGGGGTGGCTTCAGTGGTTAATATCTCAGTAATTACAGCTTGTCTAAGAAAAGGGAAACCAAGAAATGATACCTCATTTGGTTTTCGTTTAAATTCAAAGTTATCATCCAGTGAATCTGCATTGCCAAAATACGAAAAAGTATATGAAATAAGCATAGCTTTTTCATCTGATCGCAAAACCAGCGGCTTGTAGATTGTTCAATGATTTAAGCGGACTGTTGTATGTAAGGAAAAGAATGATGGTAAGCTACGCACAAATAAGGAGGCTCTTTTCGTATAATATATATTTATACAGACATGTGATCACACTGCTGAATCATATCTGCTCTTTGATATATTATTTGTATTTATCTGAAGTGCTAGCATGCTTATACTCTTTCCGTCTGTCATACCTTATTCCGTTTTACTTGAAAAATAGAACAATGACATCCTTCAGACATTGATCAAGAAACAGAGAACATCTGTGAGAAAAGACATCTTATTTGTATAACTACCGAGCAAAGGAGATCTTCGATCTTATCGTAGATTGGATTTTATTTTTTAACAAAACCATCCGTTTGTTTTTGAAGCACGCCATGTTATGAATTTCCGTGGAACAGGTTAGATGTTGGATACAGCATTTTTCAAGGTAAATAATAGAAAATCTTTTCTTTATGCCGACTTGACTGTACGTGGAAAAACAATAGCGTGACTGCCGTTTGTGTCTGTCCGTCTAAAAAAAGCTAAGTTACGCCGAATATTTTGCTGCACACAAGAGAACAGAACACACTATCTATAACGCTTATATATATATATATATATATATTATATATAAGATGAAGACACGTGTATATCAACCCCATAAAATTGTTTGGATAACTTTCGCTAATCAAATTTTCAACTGGATCGAATATTTCAAAATAGTGAAGGTCTGGTGAGAACGAGAAGATTTTAATTTATCTGATGGTGAGCGTTAACAGTCAGGACACTCTGAAACACTCGATGAGCGTAGGTATGTGTCATGTGTGATGGTGCAAGGCGATCTTTCCAAATTCGATGTTTAGATATCTCTTTATGATAAGTTTTGTGCGGTGCGAAGTACTCTTATCTTCTGAAACGATTTCTTATTTGAATTGCGTCATCATACAGCCCTTTCAAAAGGGTGTCCTCTCGATTCGTCCCTAATTGATTTCTCAATTCGTCCCTCATAAATTTTTATTCTCAGTTCGTCCCTTCTCATTTCGTCCCTTAAAATTTTTTTCTTGATTCGTCCTTTCTCGATTTGTCCCTCGAATGCACATAGGCTAAATTGCACGCATAGGCTAAATTATTCGGCTTTTAAATTTATTTAATAAACTTTGTAAAAATGACAACACTAATAATTAAGAATATAGAAACAGCGTGATAGAAGTTGTACAAATTTAATATCACTATGTTCACAAGACAAATTAATTATTCGTGAAGGAAATTATCCAAAATTGTCAACAACTCTTGAAGAAATGCGTGCATTTGAGGGACGAATCAAGAAAAAAATTTTTAAGGGACGAAATGAGAAGGGACGAACTAAGAATAAAAATTTATGAGGGACCAATTGAGAAATCAGTTAGGAACAAATCGAGGCTAAACCTTCAAAAGCTCATCAAGAATGAATGAAAGGTGAATGAGAATATATAACATAATAAATAAGATCAATTAGAAGATATGCTGTTGTACTCATATTAGAGATATCTAGAATAGCTGATTTTTACGCTCTTTGTCTCATTCAGAAGTTGCGCATTCGCTGTGTACACCTTAAAGGTTCATCGACGAAAAAAGAAAATGTAGATGGTAAAAATGTGTTGTTATTGAACAAGAGCTATGTTGTAAAATGAAACAACAAACGGTCTCGTGTCACTTACGTTTTGTATTACCGCTGTTGTTATTTTAACCGTAGTATAAACTGATTCATCTGATATTGAATTGCTAATAATATTTTGTTAAAATTAAATCTGAAACTGGAATTACTATTGATGTTATTGTATTATATATATTAGTATTATTAGTGCCATTTTGATGACACCATCAAAAGTTATTTATTAGCCACATCTTTTCTGATAGTAATCACATGTATAATATTATTAGTTATTAATATTTATTATGATGAAATGACAGTTCTAAGTCGAATCAGTCTTGTCGTAGCATGCGATGGTGTCTCTTCGGGTGCCAAACATCTTTGTGTTACCTATCAATGAATCAAAACCCCATTGAGTATGATGTTGTGTACATTTATAATTAATATTTTTTTACTGTTTACTGTTACAGAATTTAATTTCGATGAATTCTACTTATGTCTCGAATGGTTAAACACTATGTGGTTAATTTTTACGATGATCGTCATGTTTTTTTCTACATATCCCGCTAGAAAACAAAATATGAAAATATAGTTTTGCCAGTCTTTTTTGGCCTTTTGATAATTAGCAGTTCGACACTGGATGGTCTCACTTTTAAAGGATCAAGAATGAATAGATGATAATGATAAAGAAAGAAAAAGAAAAACTGAGATCACCAGAGTTTATTACTTTTCAATTTCTGTTGTTCAACAAAATGTCTGTAGGTTATTTGTTGGAGGTACTTGTAAAAGAACCTCTGAACATCTACTGTGAACAAAAGCATCCTGATATGTCTAAGTAATAATAATTCTTTCAAAGTTGCCTTCAATTCAAAATGGTTTAGAAGTCTTTTCATACATCATTATTTTAAATTAGACTAGCAATAGACTAGCAATGTATACGATCAATCATGACGTTTACATCAAATATCTTCTGTAATTTTGTTAATTCAAATGATGTCAGCAAAAATGTTAACATTTTGCTTGAAACTGAACTTTCCAACTGTGTTTTCGAATTTCTGTCTAAATATAGTTGGCTACGGATGATCGATGATGCTGATTGCGAAGCTTCTATATATTACCGTAGATTCTTGAGTGTATTTCTCGAAATCGGTTTCCGAAAAGCTCAGATAAATTAACTTGTAGAGCATCTCAAATTACTTATGTTCATTTAATACTTTTGATCACACTTTAATAGAATGAGAATTTTCTTAACCAAAATAGGTATGAGCGATAAATGCACGTCTTTTAAAGATATATACAAAATCTTGTAATGAACTTCAAAATAATGGAATATTGGTAATTTGAGATGTTCTACAAGTTGACAATCTCAGAATTTATTTTGGACTTTTCAAAAAATGACCTTGAAAAATACACTCAAGAACCTGCTGTAAACAAACAAATATCAGATTGGTGATCAACATCATAAACCAACTTACCATATTTCTACGAAAAATCGAATGAACAGTTGAAAAGTTTTCCTCATTTGTGTTTAAATTAAGCTAATAGTTACTTAGAAATGTACAACAATCTAGCTGACTTATAGACCGCAATAGACTCTCTAGATGTCTGCTTTTGTCATTTCAGATATACAAAAATACATAAATGTTCAATTCTTCGTCTATTAGATTTTAATTAAAATTCAACAATGAAAACGAAAACACCATATTTGAGAGAAGATAAAACATCAACGACATTTCTTGAAAATCAATTATTGAGACAAAAAATCATAGTATTAAAACGTAAACATGAATTTGACTATGAAAAAATAAAAAATTTATATGATGAAAATATTGTATATTCCAATTGTTTGAAACAAGAAATATTAACATTAAATCAACATTTAAAATCAAACGAAAATGAATTGAATCATGTTATCTCATGTCTTCGATTAGAAATGCGTACCATGAAAATGTTATATGAACGAAAATTACGATCAAATGATCATCAGTATAATGACCTAATTATGAGACATACCGAACAATTAGTAAATTATTCGAAATTAAAAGAAAAGTATGGATATTTAATTCGAAAAAATAATTCTAAAACAATTACCAATGATGAACAATTGGATTTAATTGTAAGAGAAAATGAACATCTTAAACAAACTATTCAAAATTTAATTAAACCAAAATTTTCAGTCAATCAACAAGTAGCAAATGTTGCAGAAAATCGTATACGAGATGAATATAATATGAAACTAGAATCAATTAAACATGATTTAGAACATCATTTACGTGATGCTTACGAAACAAAATTACAAGAATCAATTCAAAAAGCGCAACAACAGCAACAAGAAGAAGTTGAAATGCTGCGAAAAAAAATTCGTCACTTACAAATTCGTGATGAAAATATAAATAATATTCATAATGAAATAACAAAAAAAATGAGAGTAAATTAACTGTTGAACAGTTTATTGTTGTTGTTTTTTTTGTTTTTGTTTTTATTTAAAACATTTTTGAACGTTATTTTAGCTACTGTAAAAAAAAAAAAAAGATGATTAAAGTTTATCTTAAAACTATTTATATATGAGTATGAAAGATGAGTGTTTTCGCTTGCTTTTTTTTCTATCGAAAGAGATAACTGATTGATCATGATTTATATTGTCAGATATAGAAATCTGTATATTGATTTTTATTTCTTATTATTTAGTTAAATCTATTTGTTATATCATGATCATGTACTCTTACGGTAATTATAAACATTGTTGTCTAGTTTATTTTTTGTCTTTTTTTTCCTAGTCTAATCTTGTTAACCATTGATCTTTTGCTTGTTTATTTTTGTAATTTGAAAAGAGATATTTATATTTGTATAGTTAGAGCAATTGTATATTAATAGATCAAAGCGATATATATATATATATACGTGCGTATTTGATATTGAAAACAAAAGAAAGTTGCCTTTGGATATTTCTTTTTATCGGATAATTGAGATTATTAAGAGAATGTATCAACTAAAAACATCGTCTAAACAATCTTATCATTCCTAGTAAAATACCTAGATATAATTGTTTTGTTGATCTATTTTCGCACAAAATCACATGTATATAGTTTAAAAAACGAAACAAAAAAAGAAAGATGACAAAATACACAAAATTTATACATGTACACTGAGAGTTAACAGGAAAAAAGAAAAAGTGTCTTAAAGAAATTAAATAATACTAGGAGCGTCCATGATCTTCATTTTGATGATGTGAGAAATAATAGAGTGGTTGTTGTGATGATGTTGGATTTATACCAAATAGCGAATTACTAGCATCCATCATCGTAGTTTTCTGAAATACAGAGACAGAAAAAAACGAAATTCATGTTAGATAAGAAAGAAGAGTAGAATTCATTTTGAAAACATGATGATACATACATACATACATACATACGAACAATAATGAAAAGCATCTTTTGAATACTAAAATATAAACTATGAGGGTAGCTAAAATTATTCTTTTCAAATAATGGACATGTTTTCAGAAGAAAGTTTTTTTTTGCTAAATTTAATTTCTGTTAGTCCTTGATCGAGTCGAAAGGGCAACCGTATAGTATTTAGTATGAGAATTTCAAGGGAAAGAAACTAATAGTTTCAACACATAATGTATTAGCCATAATGTTCGTTTATTGCTTGATTGTATAGAATCGTATACTAACAAAATGACAATGTATCGAAATTAGTAATAACACATCAAAGGTTGTTTGTTCTGTATATATGACATAAATCATAATTTTATATAATAAACAGCAGTCTCTACATAAGATCGTTTTGTTCCCCTTTTGTGTATATAAGAGACTTTTACCGACATCGAACGTCGATCGTTAATTGACTTATAGAGAAAATATCATATATTCTATTCTTTTTTTTGTCGTATTCTCTCTCCATATTTTCCTTTATAATGTAACAATGAAAAACCACAGAGGATGTTTGTGTCCTTGTTAAATAAAATTATATCCAGCCACTTTGAAACACCCTAATTCAAAACATACAGAACTAACAACAATAGAAAAGATAATATTCAAAAACATCTGTTCGGCATTGACTTTGTCAAATAGAAAACATATTTACATGACAGTACTTAGTAGAGAATGACATAGAACACATCTTATAGAAAAAAAGAAAAGGATGATGTCGATGAGAGAATAAGTGAAAGAAAAAGTCTTTTGTATTTTATTGATTGATTTATTAATGAAATGTAAACGACTGACATCGGATGTCTGGAAATGTTTTTAGACCAAATTATGTAACTTTTTTCAGAAATAAAAGTGTTTTACTTTTATAGGGTATTTAGGTTTTTTGCAACAATGAAAGCAAGCTGAATATTAGACAATAAACTACAAACAAAGCAAGCCTTTTTCTTCTACAAATGATAATGGAGCACTTTTTTATCACCATTTTCTTCCAGCAAGAACATGAACTAGTCTTTCTCAAGTTCAACGGGGCTTTTAGATACTTAGCTGTTATATCTACGGTCTAGAGTACTGTTTAAAATTTTTAACATCCAGGTCGGAATAGTTGATAGATTTTCTTTAAGCTCAACCTAATAAACACATTTGTGCTGTCAGTATATACCAAGGATAGAAATGTTTTCAGTAATTCAATATAGTCAATCTGGTAAAAAGTAAACCTTTTTTAATTCGTTTTCTATAATTAGAAGTAATAAATTGTTCTATGAAATCTGGATAGAACTGTAATTGTAATCAAGTCAGCAAAATCGTATGAGTTGAATTTTCCTCTGCTTAGAAAACAGTGACATTTCCATCTAAGAACTTTTTCTGTGTAATGAGGGAAATTCTTTTATTGCACACAATACTTTTTGATTCTCCATTCCTAACAGTCACTCCATTATTCTTCCTAAAGCATAATGACAACAATTATAAGCAAACATACTACTCTATATGTATGTAACTATGTTTCACAACGATATAAACTTTTATTTTTTTCGAAAACAAAAGAAGCTCATGCGAATACATGTAAAATGTATCAAGACAATATTCTTTTATTTTAATTTTTTTTTTTTGAAAATGAAAGAGAATTTTATGATGACGATGATATTTGTTTTTTCACAAAAAGCCAAGACAAAAAATATAAATGTTTTATGCAAAAAATTCAAGTCTATATACACAACAAGTGCTGCTTAGAAAAAAAACAAATATACACGAAAAAAAAATTATAAATCATCTTTAGTACTACTATCTAATATACGTAAACTAACCTGTCTCCCTCTTGTTGATTGAACTGCACTCGACACTGCTGATGATGTACTCCCAGGTCCACCACCAGTTGGTCCACCTGTAGGATACTGTTTATAATACCTCCATAAATTTTGAATAAGTTCTGTTACAACAAGATCACTGGAATTATATGCTAACAACCTTAATATGAGTACACCATCATGTTGCAAGTAACGATGAATAAAGTCCTTTGCTGGTAATCGTCTTAGATGTGTGTCACTTTGCATTAATTCTAAACGTTTTTTAATATATTGATATCTTACACGACCGAATGAACGAACAAACCATGCTAATAAGTCATACGAATTACATATAGTCAAAAATGCTAACCAAAACCAAATGAATAAAAATGCTTTTTCGTTAAATAAATTAATAGGTAATACACACTGAACAGTATGTACATGTACGTTTTGTATATTTCTTACGGCAAATTCACACATCGTTACACGTGGAAAATAAATAGATTCTGTTAAGTCTTCTCCTTTTAAAATTTTTTGTATTAATTCAACACCATAGGAAGCAAAATTATGTCCCAAGAATATATTCAATAGAAATAATTGTCCAATTGAATTAGCAATAAATAAAATTTTTGTAACAAAAAATAATATCAGTAAATAGGAGCCCATTTTACGACCAGGTACACATAATATAAAAGCAATTAAACGTCGAATAAAATCAAATCGTTTACGTTTGCGTTTTCGCATATAAACATATTGATCAATACTTTTAGTTAAATAAGACATAATTTTTTGACGATCTTCAAAACGGTCAACCGTCTGATAGTTTAATGCGGCATCAACTAAATTAACAATATTAATACCCGATTTGGCACTTAATGAACGCCACATCATTCGTGGTAAATAAAATAAGACAGCTTGAAATAGTAAAATAAAGGGAGTCCATTGATAATACTATAAAATAGGAAAAATTAAATTGAAAATAGTAGAAGAAATTTTACTAAATATTTACTAACCTTAACAACTCGATGTTTCTTCTTTGTTTCATCCAATGGTAATGTTTCTGTTGGCGTTACGTAATAGGTATTTGATACCCAACAAATATTATTCGAATAAACTTCGTAACTTCTTGTAAAATGTCCAGGAACCCAACAAGCTATATGATCAGATGAAAATTGTTTATTCGATACAACAATTGAGAATATCACTAATAATATAACTGTATATTTATAATTTAAACGATCAACAGTACATGTATCACTGCGATGTGGACCTAATACAGAAAATGGAAGACGTGATACAGTAGCAAACAAGTCCATGTTAGTTTTAATAAACTAGCCGAACGATAATTTGACCAGCATGAACGCATCGGCTGTCGATATATAACGAAATAATTGATCTAAGATTGTATATATATAGATGTATATGTATATGTAAGTATATTGGTATTTAATAAAAATTTAATTTAATGTTTCTTTATTGCAAGGATAATGTATAATCCATTAAATATCGATTCTGACATTTGGGCACAAATCTAGTCAACAAGATTGTATATTGGTTTTTGTTAATAGCAGATGTTTTGGTGACGTTACTGAGTATCCTATGATTGAGAAAAGTAAAATTATCATTTAATGAACATATTTTCTTTAAGAAAATCGAATGAAATAAATACGATGTATGCTCTAATTCGTTGACTTGTTCGATCTTTTCTATGATAAAGTCAATGTATCTCCTACCTCAAGCATTAATAGATTAATTTTTTTTCTCTATACACACTCTCTCTCTCACTTTTTCTCTCCACTAGGTTGACCGTAGAAGAACAATCTCACCTTCTTTTCGAAGTGCTGTAGTATTCTAAGCTTAAGTGCTACTTACATTAAATTCAACTACACTTTTACATTTATAGATAATAATTTCAATTTGTTATTTTTTTTTTGGAAAAAACTATAAGACTTTTTATGGTTCGTCTATGATTATCTCAATGTGATAGTATAGGGAGTTTTAGAAATATATCTAAATGACAATTTTATACTGATAATAATAATGATGATGACGATCTTAAGTTGTAAAAAAGAGAAGAAAGAGAGAGTATGAAGTCTAACTGTTCTATTCTTCTAAATAATCTTAATATAGTAGTATGCAGTATACCATTGAAGCGAATGATTATCTTAGACAACGCATACACATTCATACATATGAATAAGCTCTTTCTCTCTTCTCTCTTC